GAAGGAGACTATTATTTACGCTGACCTGAATAACGATTCGATTGCGAACATTCGCAGTGGAATTCCTATCTCCACCCAGCGACGATTTGACCTTTACCCTGATGTGAGCGCAGGCCAGAAGTAAAGCTGACACTGCGATGGATCTTTCTTACATATCAATTTAGCTAGAGATAGTTCAAACCGCCTAGGTATTCACAACGTAATATGAATTTCGATAGTCAAATAAGGTGGTTATTGCCTGAGGCATCAATATCCACAACCAAATTATTATTCGCTGATATATAGCCCCACTCCACCCAATCAGACCCCGCACAGGCAAGCGAGACCACACTGAATTTCACTCGAAAATCGACGAACTTCTTCTTCCGACAATCGATCACTTCCGCCCACCGTCGACCACCCCTTCAGTCAGTACATTTAGTCACCCACTCCGGAATATCTCCTAACCTTTTCCGCAGAGATGTCCAACGTCAAGACCGGCAACAAGCGCTCGGCTATCGCCGATGTGGTGTCTCGCGAGTACACCATCAACCTGCACAAGCGAGTATGTTGAACACAACCCTTTCTCTACCTGCGACGATTCGAATACGATTCAGTTCTGGAGGCATATAATGGACAGAGAACAAGAAACTTTTCCTGAAAAATGGAATTTGTTACGGAAAAGAATGTGTGTGGTGTGGGTTGTGGTGTGTGCGTCGAGGGTGGAATGGGAAACCAATCCCCCCATGCCACACCACCATCCTCACCATGACCTGTGGAGAAATCTGCAGGTAGGACATGGCATTTTTGTCTTTTGTCTACTTCGCGAGACAGCCGAGAGGAGATCTTGAAAAAGTCTTCGCTCGCATCCACACATATCCGCACCCGGAACACAAAAGAAGAATTAGTTTTATGAAGTCCACTATGGCCGAAAGACCAGAAACATTCATCGCGCAGAGTTTTCTCTAGCAGATGGCATTCGGGCGGAAGACTGATTGTAACTTCTTTTCCGGAATTATAGTGCCACGGCGTCAGCTTCAAGAAGCGTGCTCCTAAGGCCATCAAGGAGATCCGCGCCTTCGCTGAGCAGGCTATGGTAAGTTTGAGCAATGCTCTTCCCTCCCTTGACATACTGGGAAGTCAGTCCACTAACATACTCAACTCACAAACAGGGCACCAAGGATGTCCGCGTCGACCCCCAGCTGAACAAGAAGGTCTGGGAAGCCGGTATCAAGGGCGTTCCCTTCCGTCTCCGTGTCCGCATCTCCCGCAAGCGTAACGACGAGGAGAACGCCAAGGAGCGTCTCTACTCCCACGTCCAGGCCGTCAACGTCAAGGACCCCAAGGGCCTCCACACTACCACCGTCGACGAATAAACGTGTCGCTTTTCGTTAGCATCTATGATTCCATGTTCCTAACTAGGGTGTGGTCGGGGTTTGACAAAAATACAAAATACCTTTTCCCTTTGGGGCGTCCTTATACATTTTGTCTTAGTATCGTAGTACTGTAGTTGGCGTGCCCTGGAGCATCGAAAGAAATACGACAGGAGAGTTACTTCAAGGTCGCTCAATTACGCCTAATTCTCCACTTCGTATGGGTTGGATCGCATGGAGCCTGGTGGCCAACCCGTGCACTAGTTCGTGCTCGGCATTAATACATCTCAGTATGGAATTCGAGGCCTTCATGCAAGTAAGGTCACTAGGAATTATCAGTTCCTTCCTGGCCCTATCGGTTTCGCCCGATGAGAGAACGACTGACACCTCAATGGTGCAAGTCGACGATCCAATTAGGGCTAGGCAAGGGAGCCGTTCAGTCGACCAATCATGCATCTAATGACCATAGGAGGCGAGTCTAAACCTGTCCGTCGTCTTTGCTCTTCTTGTTCTAACACCAGCAAACACTCTTCATACCCTGGGGTATCTGGTGTTCTCGACGGCGGTCTGCCACCGATCTCATAAATGCTACTGAATAGTCATCATCGCCGTAGGTGCCCGATAGATTCTCCCGAACCTCATCCATATCGACATACTCCAGCCAACTGCTATACCAATCCGAGAACTCGGGAATTGGACCAAATCGTGGCTCCCGGCCGTAAAGAGTAGCCGGGTTTTCACCATCAGCCCGGAAGATGACAACACGCCATTTCCAGTCCTTGGGGGTTGTTCCGGAGTCATCGTCAGACCGACAATAAAGATAAGCACTGTACCGTTCGTGTGTTCTCGGCGACCGTCGAGGCCAGTTTCAAATCCAGCCTTGACCTTCAAGTCATCCACGATGCCTTGAATGAATGCATCTTCAGGAATACTGTCTTATAGGTAAACTTTCAGTATTTCCCGGGATGTCGATACATCGGGAGCAGGTTGTGCAAGAACCGCCGGGCGATCTTCAAATGTATGTAGCCGGATCCCAATAGGAAATACCAGTCCAAACGGACAGATACCAGAGCCTCGAAAATCCGGATCTCGGACACCATTGGCATATTTGATGAAGTGGCCTAGTTCATGAAATATCTGGATGCTAAAGTCCTGGTCCTCTCCATCCTGCGCCGCTGCCTCGTTGAACACACTCTCCACAACCCCAGAAAGATTTCGCGCCATTCATCAGTTACCAGAATTGGTAGAATGATTCCATCCATACTCTCATAGAAGATGGAACATCTTCCAGCCGTGTAGCAGTTCTGGTCTCGCTAGATTGTCGAGCAGGACCTGGAGGGGCGATGTTATTCCACTCGTCCTCGCCTTTGACACCTAATTTAGGCCAGTATAAGCACATTTTGCTCAATTTCTCTTCTTTGGTAGAGAGGCCCATAGCTTCGATCTTATCAATGCGGCCGCGCAGAAATTGCTGATTATAAGACTCCTTTTTGGTGCGGAATCGTTCCATGGCCAGACGCATAGTTTCAGCTGGGTCTACGTCTGGGGATTGCATATCACCGGCCATGGTCAGTGGTGGCGGAGAAAATAACATTCGAGAGAAAAGAAGTAAGACAAGTCGGAAGATTGATTTTCTGTGGCAGTGGACAATTACTATGGACAGGAGATTTAAGCAAAGGAGATAGGTCAAACCTTCCGTTGGCGTCTGGGATATATATTTATTGTAGTATAAGCAGTGGAAGATAGACCTAACCAAGAAGCATATATGTAGGTACAACACTGGGTAACACGCTATTTGTCGTCTTCAGCTCATACCCATATAGCTATATCATATCAAAGATAACCAAAATCCAAGCAGAGAACTGACGCTGAAACAGCAAAGTATCGAACACCGTAGAAGCCAGGGCGGTGAGTGAGAGCTCCCCAAACTGCCGACGTGAGGACATCATATCAGCTCTCTTGCAGTCCGCATCAACCATCAACATCTCCAATTCCGTCCGAGTCTACCTACGTTACTCTCCTGATTCAGAATCTTGCCCTCTCTCAGTGACTTCAACTTAAACAGCGCCCAGATCTCCACCATGGAGTCCAAGATCCCCGACTTCTTGCTCGAGCAGCAAGCACAAGGAAGCCCAGAGACACAACCCTACTTCCTCACCTTCGAAGACTATTGGGAGCGCAAGCTATGGCACCAGCTCACAGACTCGTTGGTCGAGTTCTTCCGCATGCCAGAGAGTGCTCCGCATCGCTTAGCCCTGTTTAAGACATTCGTGCTTAGTTTCGCCGACCGGGTCAACCAGCTCAAGTTTGTGTCGCTGGGATTGATGGCAGCAACCGAATGCACAGGTTGGTGGTCGCCCACAGTCTAGTCTGGAAGCTCCGAGATCTACCATGATGAGCATTCGGTTGCGTTGAATGCAGGCTAACCATCTCCCTCTAGATGATCAAGAACGACTGGCTTTCCTCACATCCCTCGCTAGCAAGACGGATACGGCCGACACACAGGATGCATATGTCTACGCGCTTGCTGACGTGGCCAACGTCAAGCTGTCGCTGAAGGATCTGGAAGGAGCACAGACAGACCTGGCCACCTGCCAGCGGGTGCTAGACACGTTCGACTCGGTCGAGACCGTTGTGCACGCATCATTCTACAAAGTGAACGCGGACTACTACCATGTACGTGATTCGCAGAATTCATTCTCAAGCCGGACATGGCCACTCAAATCGAAGCTAACACTTCCTTCCAACAGGCTAAGCAAGAATTCGCCTCCTTCTACAAAAACGCCCTCCTCTACCTCGCCTGCATTGACCTGGAAGAACTCCCCGAGACCGAGCGCGCATCGCGCGCATACAACCTCAGCGTAGCGGCTCTGGTATCAGAGACGATCTACAACTTCGGAGAGCTCCTCCTGCACCCGATTCTGGACTCCCTGACCCAGACCCCGCACAATTGGCTCCGCGAGCTTCTCTTCGCCTTCAACCGGGGCGACCTGACTGCCTACGACGTGCTGGCCGGTAACATCAGCAAGAACAAGCTGCTGGAGTCACACCGGGTATTCCTGTACCAGAAGATCTCGCTCTCGGCACTGACGGAGATGGTTTTCCATCGCCCCCCTCACGACCGCTCTCTCTCCTTCCAGGCTATCGCGTCCGAGACTAAGGTGCAGCCGGATGAGATCGAGCATCTCGTTATGAAGGCTTTGTCTCTGGGCTTGCTGCGTGGGACAATTGATCAAGTTGCTCAGGTTGCTCAGATCCACTGGGTTCAGCCTAAGGTTCTGGATATGAAGCAGATTGATGGCATGCGAAACCGTCTTAAGGATTGGGATGCTGGTGTTAACCAGCTCGGTCATTGGATTGAGGGGGCTGGTAAGGACGTTTGGGCTGCATAGATGTCTTATCTCACTTGTGTTCTGATAAGTTCTATTATAATGAATACAATGGTGTCTTTTATCGTGATTCCAGTATAGATGGTAATTCCCACAGTATGCATGGGCGTATGTCTTGTTTGACTCGGCATATCTACTTCGCGCATCATTCGAATGAAAGGAAGAATAGGAAGAATATGACATTGATATAGTCTATTATAACAAGTCAGAAGAATCTCATTCGAAAACAATATATATACAAATCTGCGCATCCCACCACTTAGTGTCCATTAATCGAACACTGCAGAGCAGCAAAATTAGGCGTATCAATCCCAGTCCTATTATGACATCCTTTCGGTTGATAATACTGCGCCACTCCATCAAAGCAATCACAATCAGCCTTACTGAAGACGGAGCAATACCCATTCTTGAGGACCCACGACTGAGGTTTGTCGAGTTTGCTGTTATCACAACTACTCCACGTGAAGCCATCGTCCGTCCACCATTTACAGGTAACGTGTTTCTCGGCGAACTTGCTATTGATGCCACCATGGAGCGCCAAACAGCCGAAGTTATCGAGGAATTCTTTGTTATAGCCCTCGAGGTGATAGTAGTCGCCCTCACAGCCGGCTTTGCTGTACATCGTGATCTCCCACGGTGCATCCCAACTGTATTGAGACACGCTTGGCTCCGGCGCTGCTTTTGCTTTGGTAGTAGTAGGTTTTTTGGTGGTGGTTGTGATTTTCGTGGCCTTGATAGTGTCGGCTTCGGTAGTACTGGACTTGGAGTTGGGATTGGAGGTAGGTTTTGAGCCGGTACCGGTGTTGGGAGATTGCTTTCCCCCCGTTGTCTTTGTATTGCCAGTAGGTTTTGATTTCGGAGCCTCTGTCGCCCCTTTCACGGTGGCTGTAGGACCGGCAGGAGGCGCACGGTAACTTTGGCAATATAGATCGGAGACACCACATTGGCCCCAGAAAGCACACTGGTTGGGTTGTTAGGAGTAGATCTATAAGAAGGTTATGGGGTTTACTCACACATTTAGACGAAGGACATGGGTTCATGCCGGCGAGGTCGGCCCAGTTGGCCGGACGTGTTGTACCGGGTACTTGTGGACCGCAGGTGGCTTGAGGAAGGGCCATTGGCATTGGAGGTTTGCCGGCGCTGAGACAGATAAAGTCGCCCTGATATAGCTCTCTGCATCCGAGCCATGCCCAGGTGTCTTTATTGAAGCTTTCGATGTCGGCTTCGGTGATATCGTGTGCTTTGGCAATCAGTGCACACGTATCATAACCCTGGATGATATATTTGAAACAATATCCGTCCTTGGTTGGCACTGGGGCGACGGCTATCGCGATACGGACTAAGAGAAGCCATAGAGCAAAGAGGCCGAGTCGAAAGAGAATCATCTTGTGTAGACTTGGGGGATACGGCCATTTACCGAGTAACAAGACTTGTCATGCTTTATATAGATTGATAGAGAGAATTGCGGCCATGAAATCGGGACTGGATAGAGGCACTTCATGAAAGAAAGAGAGCACTGTTTCCGAGTCAGGGCACGACTCATGGAAATTGGTCAAGGACAACGCAATATTGATGCACTTCATGAATGTGAAACGTTAATATTGTTCAAGGGTCTAAACAAAGATTCGGGGAAATGTGTCTCATCGGAAGTTTGACATCCTGGATATTTTCATTGTTCGCTCGAATCAGCCCTGCATTACCTCTCCGATATGGTATGTATAAAGTGGGGGCGGTCTTTGTCAAACCTCCCCTTGGGCTCTTTTGGCGTCGAATGCCAAATGTTCTTTGATCGTAATTTGCCACGAGGCGAGAGATGCTTGCACCCAACAGTGAGAATCAGAAACCAAGTCCATTCTTTCAAGGCACGGCGTAGCAAACGAAACACATCATTGGGACACACACATTTAGAGTACGTATTTCAGCTAGAGTGGCAAGATGTACGTACCTAGTTAGTTCACTTGCTTTGATGTGTATTCGCAGTGCATTGGCATATGTACCTTGGACATCAACAGTTGATATGTGGAATCCCTGCTGCCAGCCTGTGGTATCCAACGCCCTAGTCCCGTCTTTGTTTCTTTGTCTTGGTAACTATAGTACGTAGATTCCTGGCCTCGTATTTATTAATATCCTAATCATTGGACCTATGCGACAGAACGCATGAGACAACAATGTACAACAATATAATCAGAACATCGACGACCCCAGCAATACACAGCCAATCAACCAAGCCGGCCACCACACGCACCAAACGACAACCTGGGTCCACACACCCCAAACATCCCAACCGAAAGCCGCCTGGGTGAGGACAGCCTCGACTGAAATCCCCATATACCAGCAGATGCCAAGGAGAACAGTTGGCGGGGAGACGAGTTTGAGAAGCACCAGACCCAGACTAGAAGTTGCCAAGCGGAATGGCGCGGAGCCTGGTAGGCGAGCGACGAAGCTAAGCGGCGTGCAGAGCAGACCAATCATGAATGAAAGGGAGAAGTTGAGGGTGGCGAGGGTTGAGAGGGAGAGACCTAGCAGGAGGAGGGAGAATGATTTTATAAGGTGGTACTGTTGGGGGATGATTGGCTTTGATAGACCAAGGCCATTGGAGAGGATTGCCGCGAGGAGGAGGGGGAGGATGATGTCCACGACCACAAATATGTAGGTGGTAATTGTGAAGTACTGTAGATTTGTTAGCAACTATTATTATTGTGTTTTTAGGCTGGCAGATCTCACCTGGTGGAAGATATTATTAAAGACCCAGAGCGGGACAAGGCCAAGTAGATGGAGCCCGAGAACAAGCGAGAGTGGTAGAGCGAGGTGACGTTCCGCGATGCTATTCGTCTTGGCCTTCTCTTCGGTGGATGCCTTCTCGTTCTTGTGTTTGGCACTTGGCTTGCTTTCTGGGTAGTACCCAGTGCGCATCCAGAGGGCAATTGCCATGATGGTAAAGTTTCCAGCAATCAGCATGGCACTGGGCAAATAGGTCCCAATGCTGACAAAACGGTTGGACTGCATGAGCAGGTAGAAGAAAAAGCTCTGGTGCAGGTGTTCTAGCAAGTTGTTCAAGCTGCGGCAAAGAGACTCAATCGTCCGACCTAGAGCCATTTCATCCTCCCATCCCTCGCCCTTGGTCTGCAGGGTGATAGCATCGATATGGTACGGCATGAAGCTGCTGTGCGCGCCAGTGGCGTACCCGAGGCCCTGCTTGGTCATACCGCGGAACATGGTCTGCAGACGATGCTCGTAGCTGTCGTCGTGACCCCACATTTCCTGTAGATCGGCCCCGATGCCCATCTGACCGCCTGCAATGGCTACAGCCGTGTTGAACAAGTCGAGGTTGGGGAGTTGACCATTGACTCCGTCATATACGATATGTAGCGACTGAAACCGGTGATCTAATGGGTATTCGATGACCAGTGCTCCTTGCAACGCTCCGCTCTTTAAAGGAAGTGGCTGCACCGAAGCCGGGTGCGTATCGTGGTAAGCATCTATCCAAGCCTGGGTGCCGGTTTTACTATCCGGAGTAATTAGGAAGATGATATCCTTGGACCATAATGACCATCCTAGCAATAACTGTCAGTAACCCGACGAGAGGAGCGCAACCGCGAAACTCACTCTTGAAGTATCTCGCCAATGTCAGGGCAAGAGTGACACCATTCAGGTTCAGCTTGTCATCAGCTGTAATCCATGGCGCAACCAGCACAATTGCCTCCGTGGCATCACCGCGCGGCGCATGGATAATAGCATAAGTGTTCTCTCCCCGGTGCGTAATCCCAGCGGAAGTGTATTCGTATTTTTGCGTGGCAATCTTAAGGCCAGCCGCTTGCAAGATTGACTGCAGCTTGTCCGAGACCCTGTTGAAGTATCAGCGAATAGTCCAACCTGTGCCAGGTTCATTCGACTTACGCCGCTGTCACTTCCGCCTCGTCTTTTTGGCCGCCTCTTGCCTGTCCATCATTCAACAATCCTTCTAATTCTCCCTTATAACCTCGGAAGATGTTCTGCTCGCTTCCCGTGAAGTACGCATGGACTTGGCCTGGCAGGAGCGCATTCTCGGAGATGTAGGTTTGTCGAGAGTACTCGTTTAAAGGCAGGAGAAGTAGCCAGACAACGCCAACGACGACGCAGATAAAGGATAGGAGATTCGGGAGGCGAGCGAAGAGGAAATGGGGGTTGTTCCGCAAGTTGCGGATTGCAGCTGGCACCTTGTTAGTTGGGGTCTCCGGTGCTGGTGCCAGGAAGGACAGGTGGTATTTCTTTGCTCACATTTCAACGCCATTGACTAATGACCATCGGGGATTTGGTTCCCGTGCCGCGAAGGCGAAGCCGTTTAAATGAGTGGAGTAATTGGACAGAACTTGGACTCTTACAAGTCTACAGTGGAGATCGAGAGCTCCGTTGTTTATGCGCGGAGAAGTGGAATTTACGCCGAACGACAAAAACCAACAGTGCAAATTAAATGTGAGTATCCACACGCTATGCTATTATCCAATGCCCCCCCGAGTCTGCAATATAAAAACTATAGTGGAAAATGTACATTAAAAATGAGAAATGAAGGATGCATCAATACCGGGATCAGGCTCCGAGGCGCTGGGTAGATCCCAAGTAGCTCATAGGTGTTTGGTTGCCGCTGGCGCCGGCGGGGCTGGTGGTTGGAAGAACTCCATAGCGACCGTAGGTTTTCTGGTCAACGGAGACGTAGTGAGGCAGGCGTCCCAGGAGGTTCAGCTTGCCCTCGATCCAGCGGAGGATCTTCTCAGGGGGCACAAACACCTTAAGATATCCGAGGCCGACTAGCGACAATTAGCAGTGAAAAGAAGAGGACTTAGAGAAGAGAACTCACGGAGATAGCCAACAATAATCGCACAGAGATGACCGAGGAAGCTCACGTTCGAGATGAGGATGGATACAACGACACATGCGAACAGGGGTGAAGTCCAGGTGGGGATCTTGTACGGGCCAAGACTGAAGGGTGTTAGTAAAATTGGAGTAGTTATTTCCGAGTGAACCTTACCTGAAGTTGGGGTGAGACTTGTAGGTCTTGATGGCTTCTGAACCAAGAAGCAGGAAAACCCAGACGCTGGATTGAAGGTCAGTTACCGAAACATTCAACCTGGTGACCTGAAGCATACCTTGTGCCGACCACCGAATTATTTCTGTGTAGGATAAACCTCTCAATCAAGATATAAAGCCCAGCGGGGAAAGTCGAGAGAGCTGGATTATTCAACATTGGTCAAAATGGCCACAAGCGTCACATTTTACCAGAGCACTCACGTCCAACAAACAATGCAATAGCAGTCAAAGTACCATGCTCGGCCTCAAAGCGCTCCAGCAGTGGTGTAACCGCCAGAGCATTTAAGAAAGCATGGAAGAAGCCCGTATGGATGATGGGATAAGTGTTAAGTCGGTACACTGGTAACACCACCGAGTCAGCATGGCCCAATACATTCTAACTTGGAATCAAACATACTAGTCCCTAGGTTAATCTCCTCCGGAATCAAAGCACCCCACTGTACAACACTCCATATAGTTTGGAATTCAAGCAGCCAGAAGGCCAGAATAATAAGCAGCACCAGTCGCGTGAACAGCGGTAGCCGGAGGAGGTATGTTCGTATCCGACCCGGGTTGAAAGGCAACGGGGGTAAAGCAGCCGGAGTCGCCATGGTTACTAAATCCTGATTTCCCTTTACTATCCCTCTCAAGTAGAATCAATATAGAGACGAAACAACTCTGGGCGGGCGTAAAGTTGGGCTGGCAAGCCGGGATTACCGCGACTCTGAGGGAGAGGATTTGCGGTCGGAGCCGCTAAGAAGAATCGACAACGTATTCAAAGGTCAAATCAAACAATTAATGACTGGAAAGAAAGATCAAGTCGTTAGATTCTGTTTTCCTCGGTAGTTGAACTTCCGGGCCGGTCCCAGGGATAACTCACAAGGCGCACGCGATCCCTGACTGGGATAGGAAGAGAAAGGACAAGAAGCCCTCACTGGAAACGAGTAGAGCTCCGAATGTCAAGGTCAGAAACAACTTAAATGAGATATTAAATTCGAAGAGAAGTCAAGGGAGACCAACCGGACCATTCCAAGCGACATGTTCGCGAAGTTACGCCCCGCAATAAAGACCAACCGCGCAGCCATAAACTACTGGTCCCGAACAGCCCTGCCGGCGATTATAAAGTATCCCAATTTACTCCTCGCCGAATGATCTATTCATCACAGGTCAAATGGTACTGTATATCGCTATCTGCTATTTATCTCTCCAAGTCCCTCCAGCTTATTTACAGGTGCTGGTTAAACCAGGCGATGGCCTGGCAGAACGCCTGTTCTTTAGCCCACTTCTGCTTGGGGTCGCTCAGATCGGCGCGCACAGCGAAGCCGTGACTCACACCGCTGAACAGGTTGATCTGCCAGGGCTGGGCAGTCTTGATGAGGGTCTCCTCGGACTCATGGCGAAGCTGGGTAGTGAAGATCGAGTCGGCCTCTATTGATACGCGCAAAATTAGCCATTGATGCTTCTTTTTTCAAACTGATACCCAGCAAACATTAACTGACCAGCAGCAGCGATAGACAAGGGGCCATTAATTTCGCCGAGCTCTTCGTGGGTGATGAACGAGGGGTGCGCGGTGTAACCGACATCAATCGAGCCGGGCTTCATGTTGCGGCAGACGTACTTGACCGAGATTGTTAACATCAGGGTTTATAAGGTATATTTTCGGAGATTGGATCTTCAAATCTGGACTATAAGTACATACCTTGCCGCCGAAGCAGTAGCCAACAGCCCCGATCTTCTTAACGCCGAGAGTCTCACGGGTGTACTTAATAGTCGACTCGATAGCGGGCTCGACGTGCTCGGGCTGGTGGCTTTTGATCCATGTAGGCAGGTCGACCTTGCCAGATGACATGTCGCTGACACTGATTGCGTCGCCCTGGAGAATATCCGGAATGATAGTCAGGTAGCCATTGTTGGCGAACTCGTCAGCGAGGATCTGGGCGTTGATGTAGATGCCGAAGATATCGGTCAGGAAGATAATGGCCTTCTCGGGGGTCTTGTTATCCTTAGGGTAGGAGATATAAGTATTGACTGGAGAGCAGCTTGGTTAACAATTATGGTTGTGGGGGGTTTCGGGTAGCTGAGATCGAGGAATTGAGTATCTTACCTCCGTTGATATTCTTGGTCTCGCCAGCGGGAGTACCCTCGTGCTTAAAACCAGAGGCACAGCAGGCAGCGGGAGGGTTAGAGGCCATTTTGGAGTGAGAAAGGGTATAGAATGTGAAAATGAAGTTTTCCGAGTCTGTGTATGTCGATTTTAGCTGGAGGGTACCCCACTGCTTATAATTGTATCTCGGGGGGTGTACAATGTCCAACCTAAGCCTTCCGCTGTTTCAACATATTTCCACAAGACGTTATTGTCTGCCAATCAGACTGGCTCTTCAGTTGCGTCTTTGTCTTATGACCCCACTTGCCCCTCGTGGAGCTGACTTCTGGCACATCTTGGGCAATTGTTAATGTTCTCTACCTTGGCCTGATCCTCCAGAGTTGAGGCTCAATGGTCTTGCATTGACGTTGAATGTCTTTCTATATGGCCTTTGGCCATCTAGAATTCAATTGTATAACAGGAGGGAATCTGATTGCCCCGTGCTCGGCACTCGGCACACGAAGGCTCGGGGTAACTTCCTTAACTCCGTATATCCACTTAACGCGACGCCAACACGGGCACAATGTTACTTATTTGGAGAGATAACATTGCATTCATAGAAATACCTGTACTGCATATATCTGGAAGACTAGGACATCCAGTCTCAATCAATCCCACCAGCCATTATTACCACATTAGTCCATTCACACATTGAACGTAAAATATCATGTCCGAGGGTTTCCAAGGAACTATCCTTCCCAGGGTATCTCTGCAGGGAATATTATGTTGCATAAGAACTGCACAAGTAAAATGACTCCGTATATTCCAGCATGAAACAAAAACCTCAGAAGTGTAAAAGGGGTATCAAACGAAACATGTCGCGGAATTTTCACTGGAAGCGGAAGTTTGGTCGTGAGTGCTGGGCACGCTTCACAGCCCAGGCCTTGATGGCAATGGCCAGGATCTCATAGGCCATGATGAAAGCACTGAAGCCCAGGCCGACGGTGAAGGTGAACATTGCATCCAGTTTGTAGTACTCCATCGCTTCGATCACATTGCGGGTCTGGATCAACATTAGTCATGCTCTTGAGTAACGTTGTGAACCTCATCAAGGGTGTATATGCACTTACACTCAACATGAAAATCAAACCTCCCGAGATCAGGCAGAACGCAGCAATTATTTCCGTCGGGGGACGAGCCGGGAGGTACGAGGTCGGTGGCTTGAGGTACAATAGAACGTATGTCATGCCGCGCGCCAGTGCAAATCCAACCAGCATGTTACCCCACTGCTTGTGTACCATAGTCGATGTCATGCTAGTCTGGTGGTGCGACCCCATCATCATGCCAAGCAACATAATGACTAGGGCTGGCATGGGGTTTAAGGAAACACCCTGCGACCTCGGTGGTGTCCAGGCTTCATCCGAAGCATCACGAGCAGGGATATCGAGAACGGTCTTGTTGACCCAGTCACGGACGCAACTAGATTCGAAGAGCATACCGGCCTATTTTAGGTTAGCCAAATAGATTCCTATAAAGAGCCGAAAAGAAGATGAAATCGTACCAGACCGCCGCCGAAGAACAGCACGGAAATCGAAACGTGCTCGAGATCTGTGGCAGACCATGGCTTGCCCGCACTGGAGAGGTGCTCGAGGAAAACATTTGTCGCGCCGTATAGAAAAATGACGAACGACTCTGTAGCTTCACCCGAGGGAACTTTGGACTTCCAACCAACAATAGAGGCAGAGGGCTTCTTGTTCCAGGCCCAGCCCAGATCTGCCCAGCAACCAATATAGCGTCCAAGGGTCAGGATACCGTACCAGAAGAAGATACCACCCTTGATGAAGTGCGCAAGCCCGTTGAAGATCTCACGATCCCTCATGATACCACCATAAGTCACAGCCCCAGTCGCGATAGCCGTGAATCCGAATGGGAGGATGACACGGTCAACGACGTTATACACGACATTCAAGATGCGGAGAACCCGGCCGGGTATCAGACCAGGGAGAGTCTTGGACAGGAAGCGACCAACAGCCGTGTGACGAATCCAGCCGTGTTGGGCGGTAATCTTCGCTGGCAGTTCCTCGGGCTTTTCAAATCCATCGTATTCGGTAGGCGACCCACAAGAGGAGGATCCAGGGCTACGGATAGAAGACGAGTTACTATCCGTACCCTGGCCACTGTCGCGAGACCAGCGATGCTCACGCATCGCACCGTTGAGGCAAGCATGCTCAGTATCATGGTCGTCGGTGGCGACAGGGAGGAATGTATCATGTTCATAAGAGGGCGCGTTGGACTCGCCGCGGCCAGCATAGGCAAAGAGCAAAGCGAGGACAACCTGGGCGCTAACAACACACGTCGCGATCCAGCCGAGTTTGTGGTGTGCATTATTCTCGTAGAGGTCTGGCGTCTGGTTGTTATATATAACCCCGAATAGGACACCGAAAGCGTTGAAACCCAGGAAAAGGAATTGCGATGGAAGCGCGAGCCACGAGCGTGCGATGCTCAGCATGACAGCTATTCGAGGGATCAGGTTCTGTCCATTGTATTTTCTTCGCGCTTAGAACGCAACAACACGAAAGCCACTTACCAACAGGAAGAACGAAGCACCATCCCAGAACCATGAGGGCAATATGAGCTATAATGGTGCTGGAGTGCTTGCTATATGCAAAGTAGCTCATCGGACCATCGCTGGTAGCTTGCGTTGCGGTGGGTGTAGGTTGCGGCCCGCTGGGGCCCGCCATGTCCATGGATTCATCGTCACCGTGTGGAAGCGCGGTCGCAAGCGATGCGACAAAGAGAGTGAAATTTGCCGCTAATGCGACCCGAGTAGCTAAAGGCCGCATCGGGAGGAAGATGTGTTATACTGCAAGAAATAATATTGTGTATGTCTGTATATGCAAAGATGCAAGTGATCGCGAGATATAGAGCTCCAACCAGCTGAGGCCGAAGCTCTATCGAATCGTGACGTAGCGAACCTGTCAAACCGGCGGGCCCGTATTTATTCTTGTTTTTTTCGTGCTCCTCGAAGTCTAGACAAGACTATTCGGTGGTGTCCGATGAACTAGACTGTTCGATTATTTGAAGATGAAGCTGTAGGGCTGAAGTATGAGAGGGAGGGAATGCAGTATTATAAGTCCAGGCGGGGCTAGGAAAGAAGTACCGGGAACTTGCTCATCGAACTAAATAAAATGAAAAATTGAAATAGAGAAATAGAAAAAAAAATAGAAAAATAGAAAAAAGAGCTCGTCGGAGCTGATTTCCAATGCTTTTGAATTTTAAAAGGTAAAAAATTACAAAATTAAAAATTAAAAAGAAGTGCGTGGAAGAAGGCCCCTCAAGGCCGATCGACGTGCAAACTCGGTATTACCTCGTTTCTGCATAGATTGATAGATGCAGTGCAGTGCACATACATGATGATATTCTTCTGCGGTCTTTAGACTAAAGGTGTCACGAACTAGTTACATTGTATAGGAGTTGAAGCTAGAATTGTATTATTTCTTTTATCAAATGTCTGAAATGTTGCTCTTCTTTCACTCGGTTGTCTCGGGAGCCTCTAAGACGTGTGGAAATTGGTGACTTCACGAGTTTCGGGAGGTCAGGAACTATGACTACATAGAACCCCGATATTTAGGACTTTTGCAATTGAAATTTATGTACTCCGTATGTAAACCTGCATCTGATGCCACATGTGTTGTACGATATACAGAAATATAGCGCCTTGGCCAATGACGTAGTCGATCGTTACTCTATCTGGGCGGCGACCGGCCTCGTCTTCCCAGTATCTTTCTGTTGCATACATTCGATGCAGACCTGGTAGACACGTAACACCATGGGGTATAGGATAAGCATGTAAATATGCCAGCCTGCCTGCCTTCCAGGCCGACTATCTCAGGTTGACTTCCAGGGCTCCAAGGTGATTTTCGATGTGCAAGCCTTACCGCCGTTGAAGCAGACGATCATCAGGGATCTGTTCCTCCAATCATCGAGAGCCTTCATATGGACTTATGCATTCCTTCCAAGGTTGTCACCTGTGCTTTCATACTCCATACTATCCCTGTCTCGGCCTCCCTCGCTTTGTTCTCCGAGCCGCATTTTTGGGCTGACCCCATCTTAGTGGGGGCTGTAGTCTGATGGAAGCGGACTGCAACAACGAATTGGAGCGGAAGTTCGGCACCTCGTTTATTACCCAAAGAGGTGATATTGAGGTAGTTGCCTCAAGTAGTAGCCCGCTTGTCTCCGTGGATAATCCGAACGGAAGATCTCGTGGTGGCCTTTGCATGATACACAAATTTTGTACGGAGTACATCTCACGAAATAGTCGAACACAACTATGTAAGAAAAAAATTGATCGACCCAAGCCACCAATATGAACACATACCCGATGCATATTGTCATGTGGTTACCTAACCGCCCTGGTCCAACCTTGGTGGTGCAACTTGACATACCAATAACCTCGCCAAGCGCCCAAACTGTACTCCGTTCTCTATACTTCATACAAAAGCCCATTATCCTCTATCGCAGACGCCACAATGAACGTTCATCTCCCAGTAGTAAAGAAGCACGCACCTGACAAATGTCGGGCCAAGACCGAGCCCGAGCCCGATCTTGACGATTGGTGAATCGGCATCCGTGAGCATCCGGAGACATGAAAAAGGCTGGGCTGTTACCTCCACGCACCTGCACGTCCCTAGGATCTGCGTTGAATAATTGCTAATCTGCTAAAGTGAGTTCCTACCCGGAATGCAAACTCCGCTTTACTTCCGAGCTCCGAGCCCATGTTGTAAGTATATCCGTATCCTCCGTCAATGTCTCCGCCTCGTGTTTCTAACCAGTACGGAGTACGTGCAGGTGAGCCGCCTATCATATGACTCATGCTTGCTCATAGCATGACCTTAAGCTGCTGCGTACGTTTGATTTGCAATCTCGGTATCTCACTATTGTCTAACGCCGTGGTTGTTTCCCACATACATATGTACCTCCATGGCGGCTGTACCCGGCTATAGTCAGACGATGTGATCTGGCGCCACACTGTGCAATATATGCTGGTATCGAACCTTTGACACGTCCATAGCTTCAAAGAAATATTGCCAAGTCGAGAAACCTTTTAGTGAGTAATCGGAAGTCCGGCACGACTACTATCCGCACCCCGGCTCTGATCTAGCCGTTTCCCAGGGGTAATAGTAATAACGGGCAGCCAATGAGCATAGTGTGAACATCTCAGGATCCCGTGTGATAAACACAGGTAGGACTGGGACACGGACGCGAATGTGGTCGAATAGTTAGGGATTGACTCAAAGCACTCTCGGGGAAGTATAAGACACTAAAGCGCATAGTATACACCACGTTGCTAGCGTTCCCGGAGCCCTAAGACTGAGGATTAGCGCATTCGCGTACTTATCCCGTTTCACAGCCTATATAATTTGGCTTCCATGTCAGTCTGTTAAGTACATTGACTAATTCTCCGCCTTTTCCCTAATACCTTTCATTTTCTTGTTGTTGTTCTAATTAAAATTTGATCTATTTGACCTGTGATATTCGAGAGACGTTATATCGGATGTCCTTTAGAAGTCTTTTTAGGTACCTCTTTGGATGTCGTTTTCCCTTCTTAGGAAAGAAGGTACTCCGTACAGAGCTAGAGATTACACATCTGTACTCAAGTTAGCGAAAATAGACATTTATGACGGAGTGCCTTACCCTTTCGCTTAAGCTGATCGACAGCTTCATTTAGTGAGCGTAAGTCTGTGCCTCCACGTATTGAGGTGGACATAGTGCGAAAGCCATTCAAGCCATCCCGGTTCGGTGATTACCCTCTATCTTATTTGACCTGATATGGCCACGAATTGACTTTGGTGAGTGAGAAACAGCGGAAGGCGCAATGATGAAAAAGTGCCGCCACATGGATGATTTCAGTGAGGATGTCCCATTCTTAGTGTTCTAGTTACTCTGTAGAAAGAGTAAGAGTCTTGGTTATATCTAGAAGGATACCGAAAATATCCTAGAAATCGCATTTAGAAGGCATCTGGAAAGACATATAACGGACATCTAAAATGGTATGTAACTCACCGCAACTAATTATATCTACTCCTCAACGGGGTAGCTAAAGAATGGGAACTTGTAAGTGTTAGCTAGAATGATAATACTTAGCTATAAGAGTACCACGAGGAATGGAAATAAGGGAGTAGATATACTAGGCTTATCACTGCCATGTAGAATATTTCGACAGTCGAAGCGTAACGTACAGACGACTTCTCCACGTATATGTATGTAACCGGGGATACGTGTTCACCCTATCGAAATAAAGTCCGTATGAACATGTCAGTTTCATTCGGTTAAGAGTAGTGTCCTTTATGAAAATGTCTACCGGCCTTGCTAGTGGGGCCATATAGAGCCCTAGAACGCATGGGCCGTCATCTATATTGTCTATCCAGCCAGGGCACCCAAATACAATCAAGCAGAAGGGACTAAGTATATCTGGTCTGCTGACATCTAATGCCGCTACAAAGAAACCGCGGGCTCATGTATCAAGAGTACGTCTCAAGAGGCTCGCTCACTCAGCCAAACATGAAAAGCTACACCAAACCCAGAAACAAGAAGAGGAAGAGCCGTGCGAAAGCAAGCCCCTGCCTGCATCCAGACCACGAGCGAGTTGTACAGCAAGCCGAAGCAAAAATGATTCCCAGAGAAAAAAATTCCGTCATTGAAATTGTTAAGAAAAAACCAGGATGAGGGAAATGACATAAATCCTCGTTTTTCAGACACTCCACCCAACGACCCCAAATCCTCCTCTCGGAGCCAAGATCTGGTTTGATTCGCAACCCCGAGACACCGGACACGCAGGCCCGATGTCTATTCCCCCATTCACAAAAACATCAAAGACGCCATTTTTGGGCTCGTCTGGAACATTGCTCCACTGGACGCTACCGTAGTCGAGCCGGGTGCGTAGATGGATTTCGTGGATGCGAACGGTTCGAGAGGAGGGAGTCAGCTTCTTTTTGGCTCGCTTAGCGGTACTGTAGGTTGAGAAACTTGTGGTTAGTGTTGTGCTTTTGCAGTGTGCATGTGTGGTGGTAGTGGTGGCTGAGCAGATTGTCGATTGTCGATCATCGATTGGATTTTCATGTCGGAGAATGTGATTGTGTGGTATTGAATAGGATCGGATAGGACCGTCGAGCGAGGAATTGAAACGAACCTTGGTGAAACCGATGTCGGTGGACTTCTCACGGAAGCACTGACGGCAGATGTTCATCTAAAACCATCCGTATTAGCCACACTGATCTATTGTCACATCACATATTGCAATAGGCAATATGCTCGAGGGATCGGTTTCTCCTTACGCCATACTTGCGGATCAGACCGGCGCGGTGGCTGCAGACACGGCTGAAGACGCACAATTATTAGCAAGTCCGTTCCTTTTATATCGATTTTCGATTCCATCCAGGCCTCCTCCAAGTTCCATTCTCGGTGTCGACTGGATCGTTTATCGGGGGATTGTAGTAGGGTAAACACACCATTCGCGGGAGCCCTTGCCGTACCTATCGAGCGAAGAGAAATTCTGGTTAACTTTGTCGCTCTTTTTCGAGATAGTGCCTGGTGTGCGTGCGGTTTCGACTTACTTGCGGGGCCGGCTGTACCAAACGCTCTCGTGAGTCATCTTGAGGTTTTAAAGGCGGGACCTGGGAGTTGACGGGGTTGTTGACGGGACGAGGGTCGCTGGCGTTGGGCGTTAAGAACGGAGACAGGAGTTAGGGTTGGAATTTGCGTTGTGTGCTGCCCCAATGGGGAATAGGGCACGGGCCAACTCGCTTGAGTTCCGCTAGCTGTTTTTGGTGGGTCATGTGACCAAAGGGCGATCACCACACCTCGGAGCCTCAGGCCGCCGGATCTTATACTTCGAATATTTTGAAGGTTGATGCCTTTACGTGACTTTTCCCTTTTGAAGGGTGCCATTGGTATATATTTTGACTTAAATACAACTTCTTGGGACTAGACAATAACGAAGAGACAAAAAGCACTGGTGAAAAAAGTCAGTGCTCTTTCAATCTACTTCACTAGAGAGGTCGCATAAGCACTGTATACTGGTATGGAGTGGGACAATGTCTGTGCCTTTAAGGAGGGGTACCTTGTATTGAGACATATACCTTGCTTCTTAGGCTTTCACTAACTATATAGCTAGCTTCGGTTGTTTGTTGACAGGTTCCTTCTTCTCTCCTCTTCTCTTTGTCACCTTGTAAGGTCATATCTGTCTAGGGCAGAGCCCCAGCACTTCTATATCCTTCTCCCTTTCCAATATATTCTATACATGATTTTATCTTTATGAATATCATCACCTCATTTCCATCAGCGAACCGGTCCCGATGAAAACTCCAAGCAATCCTCAAGGGCATGCAATTTAGCCTTGCTGTCCAAATCGCAGAAGCCAAACAGGAACTTGGTGGTCTGGTTGACTGGCCTGTCGGGAGGGGATTCTGCAAATTCATGGGTGTTCGGAATCGCGAACAAATGAAGTTCAAAGACGAAGAGATGGACGACGTTGCGGTTTCGAAGGGGGCCTGTATGCCCTACTTCTACACGACGGAATCGAAAGCCTCCGAGTCTTCCTTTCGATGTGACCAATTGTCTGGCCACTTGCCGTATTCCGATTGTCTACTCCCAGCTGGAAATGGGATCCTGTCACCCGGGACCATACTGCCACTCCCAGCCTTGATCTAGCAACTGGCTGTCATTCTTCCACTTCATCGCACCATATTTCCGTTCGGCATCGATTCAATGTCTACTAAAGCCCCCTCAGCTACTATCATCGATTTCTATTGAGTAAGTTTTCCTGACGTTCTCGACGGTGTTTCGACAATAGATCGTTCTGACTTCGTGCGCCTTTTCTTTACGTCCAGGGGAACGGGTTCGAGCTCCTAGCTGTCCTGAAGTGGTCGCAGCATGTCTGGCTGACCACCTTTAGCGATTTGGGGGCCGTGGACGGCCGAAAAAAGACGAGGACGGCGAGGAGGCACAGTTTTCCATGCCATGGGACCTTGTTGTCGCTATCGCAGAGGCAGTGCAGGACTTGCTCGCTGGCTTTGATAGCTTTGTCAGAGCCCACCGACACCACCACCTATTTGGCCGGGACTCACTCCCCCCCATGGAATCAGTGTAGCCGTCGGCAAGATTGGGGCCATTATTGCGCAGTGTGTTTTTTGTTCCTCTTGTTTACCGGGGGTGCAATGGCGCGTGGCGATGTACCCTGGCTCGACCATGTTATGCAAATCTTCTCTGGGTTTATGTTCTGCGGTTTTGCAACTTCCTTCTTCGTCTCCGAGGCCCAACGCCAGAGTCCGGAGGTGCTTTGTGGAGAGATGCATCGTCAGAGATGAAATCCAATTTCGAGGAGCTGGGTCTGTTGGTAGTCCCCCCCCCCC